ATATAAGTAGTAACTGAGGCCTAGAACTTTCAACACACTACAAGATATTATGGTGTATACAATATAAGTAGTAACTGAGGCCTAGAACTTTCAACACACTACAAGATATTATGATGTATTAATACAATATAAGTAGTAACTTATATCAGACCCCTGTAGGTTGAACTTTGATTCATCTTCTCCATATTGACAAGGTACAAAGTGCTTCCTATCAAACCCCTGCAGGTTGAACTTTGATTCATCTTCTCCATATCGACAAGGTACAAAGTGCTTCCTATCGGACCCCTGCAGGTTGAACTTTGATTCATCTTCTCCATATAGACAAGGTACAAAGTGCTTCCTATCAGACCCATACAGGTTGGACTTTGATTAGGTGAAACTCTTCTCCACATCGACAAGGTACAAAGTGCTTCCTATCAGACCCCTGCAGGTTGAACTTTGATTCATCTTCTCCATATCAACAAGGTACAAAGTGCTTCCTATCAGCTCCCTGCAGGTTGAACTTTGATTCATCTTCTCCATATCGACAAGGTACAAAGTGCTTCCCATCAGACCCCTGCAGGTTGAACTTTGATTAGCTGAAACTCTTCTCCTCATCGACAAGGTACAAAGTACTTCTCATCAGACCCCTGCAGGTTGAACTTTGATTCATCTTCTCCACATCCACAAGGTACAAAGTGCTTCCCATCAGACCCCTGCAGGTTGAACTTTGATTAGGTGAAACTCTTCTCCTCATCGACAAGGTACAAAGTGCTTCCCATCAGACCCGTGCAGGTTGAACTTGGATTCATCTGAAAAGATTACTTTACTCCACCTTGCTTCAGTCCAATCAGCATGTTTTTTGGTCTTGTTGAGCCTCACCATCTTCATTTTGTTGGTGAGGAGGTTTTATTTTTCTTGGCCATCTGTCTGGGAGACCGGATGGTTCATGCAGTGATAGTGAACCCTGAAGTTTCCTACCATGCTTTTTTAAGATCTATAGACAACAGTGGTTGATTCTGCAGGCTCATGCATTTCAGAATATGATTGTCAGCTGCTGTGGAAGCTTTGTTCATACTCATTCCCTTCTGCTGCTCCACATAGTCAGACTCTATATATCTCTGCACAAGTGGCTTACAGTAGACTGGTTAAATTTGATTTTTCTAGCATTTTGTCTTGTCAAAAGTCCCTTTTTTTGCTCAAAGAAACAGTGATTGCTTTTTTTTTGTGGAATTAATTTTTAACCTCTGACCATGGTAGCATCACAGTATGTTTTTCTGGTTGTCTATTTCATGACTTTGCTCCATATATGTCCAGTGGTATTAAGTTTAGATAAAGCTCCATAAATAGAATGTTTATCTGTCAGTTGTTCCTGGACTAAAGTGTTGCATCTTTTTTTCTTACCAAAAGGAATTGGAAGTTTGGCATCTAACTTAAAGGATACATAGATCACATGTATAAGAGTGGATGAAATGACTTTGCTCTTCTGACACACATAAGTAGGGCATCTGAGGAGATGATTTTAAGATACAGAGCAGCTTGGCCAATGTAAGAAGGGCCTAAGAGTCATGGATCTACTAGGTGTAGATACTAGCTATTAGTTGTCGTAGATCTTATGCTATTTTTTAACTCCAGTCCTGCTTGATATTTAAGATGAGTTTCCTGGCTTTTGTTGAATCTAGGATATAAATACTGATGCTTCTAGTAAACCCTTTCAATTTATGAATTCTTATTTAGTCTTGGGATCTTTCTTAGTGTAGGCTTTTAGCTAGAAGTGGTTATTATACTTAAACCTAGATTTAAAGTTTATATTTTAAAAGTAAAATGTAATTTATATACTCATGATTCTAATAGCTAATTCACCATCCCCACATCTGGTTTATAGAACTACTGAAAAATAGATTGCACATAACATGTCATTTAATGAAGCACAGATAATGCAATAGATTGCACATATGTCATTTAATGAAGCTTAGAGAGTGCAGTAGATTGTACATAACATGTCATATAATGAAGCCTAGAGACTGCAAGAGATTGCACATAACATGTCATTTAATTAAACCTAGAGATTGCAATAGATCACACGTAACACGTCACTTAATGAGGCATAGAGATTGCAATAGATTGTACGTAATGTATGTCATTTGATGAACTGTAGAGAGTGCAATAGATATGGGCATTAAAAAAGGTGTTTCATGAATTTAATTTTTGTTAATTAAATAAATAGTTTATAGCATTAATAAGTTTTTTTGTAAAGTTCTCATAAGAAATTGAGTGTATTATGAGTGATATTAGTTTAAATGTGTAGATATACAACCCAATTTACATGTCACTGAGGACTTGAGTATGCATATTGACTTCACAGTATGTGTTTAGAATATCTCCTTGTATTCAAAGTGTATCAAAAATATGGGTTAATTGTAAAGTGTTATGTTTATGCCATGAACCATTTGTGTAGTGTAATTTGTTGTTGTAGTTGAAGCTATTAATTTCTCTCTTGAGTTTAGTTGGGACAGTTAACCTTCATAAATCTCTTCATAAATTTGCTTAGACTTTTCTGACTTGTGAAACTATTAAATGTGTATTGTGTTAACATCAGTTAAAGATGGAGAAGAAAAGGTTGAAGTGCAAAAGCCAAGAGTTGAAGAACCTCAAGACACAAAAGCCTCCGAAGATGAACTTAGTACAAATGTTGCAAATGCTACAATTGAAAGCAAAGTCTTTAATGATAAGGTTGAGACAGGTGTTTGTAGAACAGACCAGCAGTTAGAATTAAAAACTGTTCACGAGCCAATTGATGTACCATCACAATTTCCAAAAGACCAAAAGACCACAGGTGAAGAATACCATCTGCCAGAAACTAGAGATGAAGTCTTAGAAGTAAGAATAAACAAACAGTCTGAGAAAAATGATGATATGCTAGAAGAAGAAGATCAACAAGTAGAGAGAAAGGTGGATAATAAAAACCAACTTGAATCTCAAGAGCAGTTTGTAGTAGTATCTAGCAGGTATTTCTTATATGGTCCTTTTTATGATTATAATTTTATGTTCTAAACTATTAAAAACATGTACACACCATAAAATACTTCAACTTTATAGTGTGTTCATTGTATTATTATGAAGATTTGCCTATAACAAGTTTAACATAATAACATTTGTTACTACGTTAAACTTGTAATAAGTTTTCTTTGTTATCCATTCAAGCCATATCCAAAATTTCTTAGTCTCAAAGTGGGTTCCTCTTCATCAAGTGATATTTATCAGGAGGTATTAGTGACTATTAATTTTGTATGAAAACATTGCCATATTTATTTTCCCCATATTAGTGTAATTCTTATTACATAAATGAAAAAAAGAAATTTTGTTTATGGTGCAATATTTTTTATTTAAAATATTAACTACCTGTAACTTGCTTTGTCAGTTTGGTATGTTATGGTTGTTTTGTTTTAGCTATAGTTTCAGAATGACAACCTGAGTACATGTATTAAATCATTTTGTGAAGTCCACTATGGGAACATTTTTGTTTTTTCACATTTAATTAAAGTTTGTTCTTGACTGGCAGCTGTATGTGACTGGGTTTCAATACCCACTGTGGGCACAGCACAAATAGTCCATTCTGGAACTTTGTGCCAGACAACAAACATTTATTAAGTGCGATAGTTCTTATGAGTAAAGTAGTACAATGTAATTATTTATTTTCTATGTGAATGAAGTTTTCTTTGTAGTAATATATATAATTATAATCTTTGCAGTGGAGATGCTACAGAAAATGTTATTGTCACCACTGCAACTTCAGAAGTTAGTGACTCTACTCCTGATGAACCTACATCTACAAGTCAGATTAAGGGAGGAGAAGTGGTCATAGTATCCAGTAAGTTTAATATATCCTGAACTACCGATAAAAGTTAATGAGATATTCATATGTCCAGAGCATTATTAGTTGTTTTTTCTTACAATAATAAGCTGATGATTATATTTAACATGCTATTATACAAACAAAAGGTGGGATATTTGAAATGTGTTTTAAAGAAGCCTTCAGTAATGGAGATAGGAAATATAATTGTTTGTCATAATATTAAGTCCATAGTAATGAGGTGAGTAATAGAATAATAGAAATAAATAAAACTAGCCACAGGTTTCTAGTAGAATAGTTATGTTGTTATATGATTTACACCTTTTAGAGTTTGGTAACAGGTGTAAAACTTAATTCTTAGTATTAGTTCTCAGGTTGTTTACTGAAAGTATTGAAATTACTTTCATGTCATATAAAACTGTTCAGTGTTCTGTTAATAAAAGCTTTCATTCATTTACAGATTTGTCTTTTCAGTGTATTAGGTTGTAATTATAGGATGATGGATAAGTTGTGCAACATTGTGGTATTTCCAAGTCATATTTTTGTTTCAGTAAACTGTTTGTTTTTCTTTTATTACAATAATTGATTGAGATCTTGTTAATCCTGCATCCTTTCCTTATTTTAGGCTGAGCCTGGCCAAGTGATTAGTGTGTCAGACTGTGAATCTAAGACTTTTGCCCTTTTACTGCCACAAAATATTGCATTCTGCACTTTGGGGCCATGGGTGCATTATAAGAATGAGGGTCAAATCCCACTACTTGATTATAATGGTCTGAAAGTTGGCAGTGGTGTTGATTTGCTTCTTTATCACTTCAAAATTAAGGACGGGTAGCCCTACGCTAGCACAGGTGGCCCCACGCTAGCACGGGTAGCCCTAAACTAATATGGGTAGCCCTAGAGTATTCTAGAGCAAAATTCAACAAATATTTCTTCATATTACACCACTAAACCTTTTCTTTTGAGTACATGTCAAACACTAAGATTGTCACATGTCAAAACAACCTGTAAGATCTGAAGCAGGGTCACAACATTCTCCCAACAGTAACATCAAAGTGTCAAACACTAAGATTGTCACATGTCAAAACAACCTGTAAGATCTGATGCAGGGTCACAACATTCTCCCAACAGTAACATCAAAGTGCCACAAAATGTTGGCTGCAACATGAGTGACAATGAGTTGTGTTACCACTGATGCATATTATAAACAGCTTTAAAGGCAGTTTAGAAAAATAATGGTGGTGTGTGAAACTTGCATAATGCTGTATTGATTACAGTACAATGAGTTGGGGCTATTTTCTCATATGTTTATTTTAGTAATCTAAAAAAAAAAATCTTTGTATTTTGAAAATAGTAACACATCTGAGATAGATCTGTCATGTGTGCTTATGCTACTCCTGACAGTTTATATGGTAGTGACTAATATTTCCAAGAGCCTTCTCAGAGTTGAAGTATTGGATAAGTTTCATAGTTGCTGTCTAAGCTTATGGCAGTTTTGTATTTTTTTTTTCAGTAATAATTGATAGTATAATTATAATTTGTTAAAGTGGTCATTTGGGTTGAATATTCAGTTTTTATCAAGTATTATTTTTCACATGTTTTTCATCACTATTGTAAACAAATGGTTTATTAATATATGTTGTGTGTGTTTCTTTTTTATGTATACAGCATGCTGAAAGTTGTAGTTGTTTTACTGTGCACTGATTACGTTATAAGTAAAAATAGTAACCATAAGTTATAGGAGGAACATTAGAAAATCTCATTCCAAGTTAAACTGAATCTGACTGAGGTGAAGAAAGAGACCAAAGACAGTGTAAAAACAAAGTAAAAAGTAATCTTTATTCACTTAAAACACAAGTCGAAGATGAAATCACAGATGTTAGATGAACACTGTCTGTATTCTCCCCAAGACTGATCGTTATATACAAAATACAGTAGCTTCATCTCTTCTAGAGTGCTTGCACTTACAATGTCACGGTCTAATATTACACTAGCCAAAAGTAGGGAAGACGTAGGCTCCAGATACTGTCAAACCACTATGTATATGTACCATATGATGTTTTATCCTGACAGAGAGTTCAACAATATATATCAGATTTGCCTACAACTGAGTAACTAGAGCACTACTAAGTTAGACACATATTGTAACCAGTTTCTCTGTGAAAAAAAAACATGTACATATGCCATCATGCTCATGTGTGAAAAATTTCATATTTACCTGGCTAAACTCAAAGAAAAGAAACACACGTTTTCATATCCCAATAGGATGACAAAAGGTCTTTTTGAAAGAAAATAAACCTGTTTTACATATCTCAATAAGATGACAAAAGGTATTTTTGAAAGAAAAGAAAAACATATGTTTTACATATCTCAATATGATGACAAAAGGTCTTTATGAAGTTTAGCTTCTCAATTAATCACTGCTTATGGGTCAAGAAGGCAGATTTTTACTATGCCATTGCATTATTGTATAGGCAGACTTTCTCTAGATTGGGCTGTTGTCAAAGATTACACTTTAAAATCTTTCATGTACATGTCAGATAATTCTAAATGATGATAAACACGTGACTTTATTTTTAGTCTGTTTGTAGAAGGCTTTCAGAAATGAGATAAAAATGTTGAAGGTATACAAAGTGATGATAATATACAAGTTGTCCCAATTTTAAGTGTTAATATACTGCCTTGTGGCTCATTTTGATTATGGTTATGAAAGGCTTTTGTTTAAGGAATGCCGGGTATTAATTTTATTCATAAAACTTACAGTACTTTGGATTAGAACTGTATGATTAGTGGTATTTGTTAATGGATTAATCAAGGGCTCCATTAATCAATTACATTGGATTAATCAATTAGTATAATGTTTCTGTTAACATGGAATGTACAAGCAAAACAAAAACAAAAAGTTGCCAAAAAGTGCTGCCAGCCAGTTGCTCTCCTTCTAGTAAGCAGCTCCAAAAAAAAAAGAAGAAAAGGCCATGTGCATTCCACCTAGTCAACAGTTCAAAATTAGTGACAGTTGTAGGTACCCTCAATAGCTTGGCCCAATATCTCGCTCACAAAGATAGCTATGTAGCTTTGTGCTTAACAACAAAAACATAACAGCAACTTTTCAATTATTTAGATAGTTGGAGTAATCTAAAATAGTAATAATCGAAAACCATAATTTCCAAAACGATAACTCACCTCTTCACAAAGAAATGCAATCTTCCTTGTGCATCTTCTATGAGATTTGTATGCCATTGTTCTTGAGGTATCTCCAACCTGAATAAGTGGCTTATACTTAGTCTTGTGTGAGTGACTATGTTACATACACAGACCTTATCTTTACTATGGCATCTGAAGGCACATTAACTGTTGGGGACATTGCATCCTTTGTTCAGTGTGTTGTGGTTTACTACATACTTATTGGTCCTCCTACTTCTGTCCATCAACCAGTGTCCTTTCTATCAGTTGGGAATTGTCTATTGGACTTTGAATTTAACTTGATTTGTTTTGGTTAGTGCCTTACCATTTGAGGAATGACCCTAACCTTCCAATCTTTTTCTTGATTTCATTCCTAGGTATGTTCCTTTCCTTATCTTTCACCTGTGCTTTTTGATATTGCCCATTCTCCAGTCCATGAACTTAATTCTTGGGGTTTACTTTGTCTGTTCTCCCTGCTTGTTATAAGGGTTTATGCTGTTTCCTTTCTTTAACACCTTGCTCCCCTTGCATTGATGACTTTTTTTCTGACCTGCAGACATTCTTCTTTTCTTTTCTGGATTCCTTGTCTTTGGTATCTATTTGGCCTACATTCTATTTCACTCTCTGGTTCCACAATTTTGCATCATCAACTTTTTTCACCACCCTCCTGTATTTCCTCTCTTTCCTTCACCTTTTGATTGAAGTACTTCATCATGGTCCGGAGATTTTTTTTGTAGAAGTTTGTTCATTTCTCTTTGCCAGTGTAGAATTTTCCGTTTCTGTTCTGTCCCTCCTTACTTTGTTCCCTTGCTGCTGCTGTGGTTCATTGGGCCTAGTTTTGTTCCTCTTTACACCTTCCTTCTCCTTCTGTACATGGTCTTTATTGGGCTTCCTTTCTTCATCAGGATGTCTTTGGTGGTGTTTACTTTTCACTGGAAGCCTGGACTGAAGTTGTATGACTTCAGTTCTCATTATCTTCCCAATTGTTTCTCCTTTCTTGACCTTGCCCTTTGACTTCTGTTCCTCGTCTGGATTAGTTTACCTGTGCAGTTTCCATTTCAGGTTCCAGGCCTCCTCCTTTTTTCTCGCCCTCTGACACCTGACTCATTGCTTTTCTTTTCAGTGTCACTTCTGGCCTTTTGGATACATGTCTTTTTCTCTTCACCTGCAGTTGGTGTCTTTTTCTTACAACAGTCATTTTTTCATTTTTTTTCACCACAGTCTCTCATCCCACTTCTATTCATTACTTTTCCCATTTCTTTTTCTCCTTCCTCCAACCCCATCAATGGCTTTTTTACCCAGTCTGCGGTTGGCCGTGGTTAATGTGTCGGATACCTTCCTCCAGATCCCTATTGACCCATCCTCTATATGCATTCTACGTTCCATCCATCAGACTTGTATCTTCCAATTCTTTGCTCTTCCCTTTGTCATAACATTGACCTCTTTTGTATTCATATGTATCATATGGGCTTTTGCTTGCCATCTTCACAGACTGGGGCTTTCATTCCTTTTCTTGGACTATGGACTTCTGTTGATCAATTTTTGGGTGGTATCCTTTTCTCACACCTCCCTCTTTTTGCAGGAGGCTGCATGATTAGAGTGACTTGTCAATATATCCAAGTTCTTTTTCACATCGTCTCAATATTTGGTATATCTGGGAATTTTCCTTATCCCTTGTTACAGCCAAACTTAGCCTTCTCCTTTTTGATTTCAAGTTATGGAGTATCTGGTCATCAGGATTTGCTCTTCTCATTTTCATCCTGCATGAGGGGATCTTTCACTTTTGTGACTCTGACTTCCCTGGAATGCCTCATTCCTTTGGGGTGTGCACACATGCACCTCCTCTGGTGGACCTTGCAGATCCAAGGGATTCTTTCACAGGTTCCATTGTCCTCATTTGTAAACTTCCCCTTCCCTCAAAGAATTCTTCTGGTGAAACTTTGTAGAATGGATGGCAACTGCCTGTTGTAAAAACACAAGTGTAGAGGATGATGTTTCAAAGTCTTCCGCCTTTCAACTACAAAGAATTCTTATGGAGACTGGACCATGCCCATAATACTTCCAGCATTCCCTTACCAACTCCCAAGCCTGATCTATCTTTTCAGTACTGTTTCCTTCTCTGATTGAGAGGCATCTCTGGATGATGACATGACTTCTGGCATTTGGATGCAGGATGAGTATTCACTCCACTTCAACTTGCTCGAACTTCTCGCTGTTCATCGGGCATGTTCCCACTTCCTGCCCCTTCTGGTGGATCAATCAGTCACAATCCACTCTGACATATTTATGGTCATTTCTTACATCTACCATTGCTTTTGGGCATTGAACCTACTCTTCTGGGCTCATTCACATCAAGTTCATATTCTGCCTGGAGCTATGTAATTTGACAGGCCACCTCTCTTGGCAGGACTGCATTCTACCCGGGCATGGCGTGGTCTCTTCATCCCAGGGCTTTCATCATTGGGTTTGCTCTCAGTTGGGCATGCCCATCATAGATGCCTTTGCCATCCCTCTTGACTCCAATCTTTCACTCTTCTAATCACTCATTCCTCATCCTGTGTTGCTCTGGTTGTTGAAACTCTCAGCCAGGGCTGGTCTCATTTTCCTCTAAATGCTTATCCTTCTGTGGTACCTCTTTGGCCAACTCATTCTTGGTTTCCTCTGCTTTATTGTTTAGCGTTGAGACCCCCCTGTTCATATAACCAATTTCCCTTGACTGTTGCTTCAACCTCTCAAGTCTTTAAGGGATGTCGTCTTTGTATGGGATTTATCTGGTCCATTGCCCATCAAACCAAACTCTCCTATTTGGTAACCTTCTTGTTACATTCCCATCGACCTTCCACTTTGTCTATCCACAATTGTGGTGGTCTTTCATTGTTGATCCATCTGCTACTCCTTGCCTCCCAGCTGCCCTTTATGCATTTTTTAATTGGATGTTTGACCATGATTTGTTGGTCTCTGCCATTGCCATTCGTAGATGGCATTGGCTGCTACATTTTGCCTTTCCTGGTACCACAGGGTGTTTCCTTCTCCTGTTCTCTTGACTCTATTCCACTCTTTCCTTCTTCACCATTCTTCTTGCCTGACTGTGTCCTTACTGTGTTTCTGTGCACTCTCATATGTGCCCTGTTTGAGCCATTGGCTTCTTGCTCTCTGTTCCACCTTTCTCTCTGATGTTTTATTTTTCTTTCTTGTTCTTGCCTGTGGTCACCATCATTCAGATATATATGCTATTGTTGCTTTTTGCACCCTCCTCCACTGCACTTCTATATTCCTCCACCTGAACCAGTCTTTCTATCCTCCTACCTCTGCTGCTCAGGAAAATGACAACATTTTATCTCCTATCTCCTTTCTTTCCATCTCTCACCTCTACAGTTGTTCAGACCCGGGTCAGCTACTGTGTCCTGTACAGTGTTGTTTATAACAAATCTTTCCCTTTCAGGGTTCCCATCATCATCTGTTTATACCCTGAAACCTCTTTCCTTCTATGGTCCTCCCTCCTTTTTCGCTTATTAGATGGGTATGTCAGCTTCTTTGGATGGTATATTTTAACCTGGATATTGATGCTTCGAGGCTATTCAACATTTCTTCCAATCAAATTCATCACCTGACTCATCCTATTGCTTTCTATATTTATCATCTCTCATTATTTATACAATTTGACTGTTTTGTCTTCCACTGATCACCGTTCTTTGATCGTCCCACCATCTTTGAAATAGCTAAGTCTGTTTATTTTTTCCTTTTTGTCATTCATGCTCACGCGGTTTGGCTGGTGTTGCTCAAACCATTCGTCTTGGCTCTACCAGTGCCCACTGAGAGAGGGGTATTTAGCAAGACCACTGGAGGTATCTTCGTGGTATGCATATTTACTCAATTGTCTGATCCAATTTCATCAACTATCATAGAAAAAGCCATACACCAGAGAAGTGTCTTTTCACGTCTTTGGCTTTTGCTTGCCAGGGTTTAAAATTAGGGACCTGTATCACCCATTACACTGTCTACAGTAAAAGACCTTTCCGTCTGGTGGTCCAGTGGGGAATCTAGGCACTTCTCTGGGTCTCTCCGATACAAATCCCCCCCCCCCTTTTGTCAAGTGGAAAATGGGGTACCTTTGACATTTACCAATTCCTAGCTGCTAGGGTGGTGGACCATGCTGAATCTCACTGGTTGGGCTTAACACGATACGGTGAGAAGTGGGGAGAGGATGACACTGTCAGTGTAGTACAGGTTACCCTTTACAAACATAACATGTAACTAATGTAACTTCTGCAACTTGTTCATGTTCAGTAGAGTTGAGGTGAGCACACACTGTATGGTCTTACAGAGCCCCAACCACATTACACGTAGTAGCTCACTGACAGCTTGTTCATGTTCAGTAGAGTTGAGGTGAGCACACACTGTATGGTCTTACAGAGCCCCGGGGCTCTGTCAGACTATACAGTGTGTGCTCACCATGACTCTACTGAACACACACAAGCTGTCAGTGAGCTACTAAGTGTAGTGTGGTTGGGGCTCTGTCAGACTATACAGTGTGTGCTCACCATGACTCTACTGAACACACACAAGCTGTCAGTGAGCTACTACGTGTAGTGTGATTGGGGCTCTGTCAGACCATTCAGTGTGTGCTCACCTCGACTCTACTGAACATGAACAAGCTGTCAGTGAGCTACTACGTGTAGTGTGGTTAACCACACTACACTTAGTAGCTCACTGACAGCTTTGTACAAGTGCTTGGATGGTCACGTTCTCATTCCACCCATCCCTACAACACTTTGGACTTGTTTGCTTCTCCACCTTACATTGCAGTCAAAGTATATTTTGGTCAAGATCAGATGAGGTCTCCCACATGAGTGCTCTGTGGAGTTCCTACGATCAGGTGTCACACTCCATGGGCTTTTCCTATGGGCACTTTTTGAAAGGAGCTTATCTAGGTTTTGAAAATTTTGCAGAGGTTTCTTCACCATTTCAACATGGGATTCTAGTAATTCTGTGTCAGGAGGTGAGTTATAGTTTCAGAAGTTAACATTTTCCTAATCTGAAAATGCATTTCTGATAGATATTCACCTCCAGACACATTCCCACCTGTTGTCCCCACTTCAGGTGCACATTTTGTTTTGTTTTTCCTTGTCAAAAAATGAAGTAATGAATGCAGGTGCATGGGGTGAGTTACTGCATATGGAGGTTACGTCACCCACTCGCTTGTGGAGGGCTTTTGTTGCAAGGTGGCATTTCTGTTTGTGGAGCGGAAATTTTTTCGATTAATAAAATGGTAACTTTGTTTAGTTATTGTATTTGTGACAAGTTCATTTTGGTCTGTTTGGTTTTACAGTTTATATCATCATGGTACAAAGGAAGAATTAAATTTACAAGAATAGACTCATCCATAGCTACAGCTCTATTTGATATCATTGAAAAGTTTAACAAATTAATATTGACTTTCACAGTAAGTCTGAAATCCAGCAGTTTAGTAGATAGAATAATGAAATTATCATTAGAAATATAATACAACTAAATAATTCTGAATATCTGAACCTTTTAATTAAATAAAAAAACTTTTTTAATTTTTAAACCTCCCTTTTTTTACGTTTTGTATGAAATATTTAGAATAAACTATTTTGATTTTATTACTAGTAAGATATTTAATAAACAGACAATAAATATTAATAATCTAGCTGATGAGGCTTGTGTCAATACAGATCTATTAGGTTATTAGACTGTAGTGTATTTGTGTTATTTAAGAGGAGAGTTGGTTGAAAATGTCTACTCTATAGTTTCACAAGACTTGTGCTACTAACCATACCTTATAGTTACAAGTGAAACAAAAGTTTGGTTATGATAGTTGAGAAACAAGTAGTAGACCTTCCCAAGGCCAAGTTAGTTCAAGTGTCTTCTTCGGTCTAGAGAAAACTTTTAATACATATTTGACTATCTGGATTGTCAACAAAGGTACATCAATATGTGAAGATAAGCCCAGTGGTGAGTCAGAAGATGTGGATGAAGAGAACAGAGAATATGAAGAACCCAATACAGCAGAAGCAGTTAACCTACTGATTGATGAAGCTATCAGAGAGCAAGAAGAGAATGAAGACAGGTAATATGATTATTCTTTAAAACCTGAGAGTCCAATTAATAAATGACATAACTCCATTTGTTCGTGTGCCTCGGGGACAGGGTCTTTATATGTATCGAATCTATGGATAAATGAGGCATCAATGTTTGTGATTAGAATGCATAAATCTAGTATACAGAAAATGATTATGTAAACCAAAACAACCTTTCTTGAAGATGTGTGTAACAATATCAAAGACAGAAGAATGCTTTAGAATTAGTTTACTGTCACATTGATCCATTTTGATGTGTGTAACAATATCAAAGACAGGAGAATGCTTTAGAATTAGTTTACTGTTACATTGATCCATTTTGATGTGTGTAACAATATCAAAGACAGGAAAATGCTTTAGAATTAGTTTACTGTTACATTGATCCATTTTGATATGTGTAACAATATCAAAGACAGGAGAATGCTTTATGATTAGTTTACTGTTACATTGATCCATTTTGATGTGTGTAACAATATCAAAGACGGGAGAATGCTTTAGAATTAGTTTACTGTTACATTGATCCATTTTGATGTGTGTAACAATATCAAAGACAGGAGAATGCTTTATGATTAGTTTACTGTTACATTGATCCATTTTGATGTGTGTAACAATATCAAAGACGGGGGATCAGTGTGACAGTAAACTAATCATAAAGCATTCTATTTTGATGTGTGTTTACACACATCAAAATGGATCAATGTAACAGTAAACTAATTCTAAAGCATTCTCCTGTCTTTGATATTGTTCCTGTCTTTGATATTGGGATCAGTGTGACAGTAAACTAATCATAAAGCATTCTAATTTTCTTACATTTAAACACAATATCTTAGTTTCCTTAATACATTTATTGTTTTTGTTTTGTTTTTTTAAGTCCTTTGACAATTTCTAGTATCTGCTCCAAAGTTAGAGATATCAGTTTTTCTCAGGGTTTCCCATTTCTGTAAATACACAGTCTAAGTTGGTATTGGTTGATAAGGTAGTAAATGCACTACTTTATATAATGAAGCATAGTTTGTTATTGTGTGTGTGGAGGGCTTGCACGACCATTACATCTACACTGGCAAATTATGGAACTTGATAATGGCATGGGGAACAAATAATTGAACTTGTGGAGGAATGGGGGAATGTGTGTAGTGGGGAATCATTTACCGTTAGTTTATTTAAGTCAAATTAAGAAAGGATTCCACCAAAAATCACATTTGTGATAACAAGTTATGATGTTCTTAAATTCAGTGCCAAGGCATCGTGTATGAACTAATTCTTGTTTAAAATCCTTTTGATGTATTTAGTTTTTAAAATGTAGTGTATTTCATTACTTGAATCAAAAAATACATTTTTACAATATCTTTATGAATTAACATCTAATAAACTATCAGTGATACTTTTTCTTTTCTCTTGAGTTATAAAATTTTATCAGTGATCTGCTTAAGTATATAAGATGCTTTTATAGTTTACAGTGTGTCATCTGGTATCTGTGCTAATGTAATTTTTAACAGTGTTGTAATAGTATAAGTAGGATAACATGTTGAAAGTAAATTATTTGATTATAGCAAGAAAAGTCCTGATGTTACGTGGAAGCCAGTCTCTCATGAAGTTACAGTTTCATCTAGCCACAGTATCGTAGAAGTAAATGAAGAGGTTGATCATCGGCCTATTGATAGTCCAGAGTCCTTCGATAAAAGTCACGTCTCCATAGTTACAGTTGGAGAGAATGAGCAAGTGAAGGATTCTTCTTTAACACTTGAAGGTTCCACCATTGAGTCTACAGATGTGGACAACTTAGATTTCCAAGTAGGGGATGCAGATACACAAGAACAGCAAAAACTGAAATCAGGGAAGAATGACGATAATGTAGTAGTGATTCAGCAAGATGCCTCCGAATCCAAGGATTTAACCACTGAAAACAGAAATGAAGTTGTAGTCATTAACAGTTCCATTAGTGAACAGTTATCTGATGAACAGTCAATAGAATTCGATGAATTGAAACTTGATGAAAAACTTGAAGAAACTAATAAAACAGAGGACAGTAGTGGAGTGTTTGATGATGACACAAGTAATGATAAAAGTTCTGTTAAAACTTCTTCATCAAGTGCCTCATCTGAAGACAAACCTAAAATTAAAGTGAATCTCAATTTAAAGAAGGGTTCCTCCTCATTGCCATCACCTCCTGTATCCCCAGGTTCTATAGAAACTGAACGAAAATTACCAGCAAGTGCTCCTAGCACTGCTCCCTCAACACCTGCTGAAAATGAAGGTTTAACACGTCGTTCAATCTCCGTGACAACAAACTCTACTTCCTTGTCTCACAAAAAGGAAATATCAGACACAGAAAGTGTATCTACATTAGGTAGTACAGGAAGCAGAGAAAGTAGTGACAAAGAAAAGGAAGAAAACCAAGTTGTGTTGAGGAAACGGAAAGAGCAGGTGAGTGAGAAACTGTGACTTCTGTATTGAAGTTTGATTTTGTAACTGCGGTCAGCCTGTGTTGTAAAAACTTTCAGTTAATATTTTGAAGTTTTATTACAATATACAAGTGAAAGACAATAATATGAGTGTTTTTTGTAGTTTAGTGACATATTTTATTCAAACTAAAATTTCAATTTACAATTTTCATATATATTGTATAAAAATTTTTTGTTTTAGTACATTTAGTTAAGCATTGTAATGTCTACCTCTACTTCTTTTCCCTACAAATTTCCCAGTTGCTACGGAGTGTTCCATCCATCATCACATGACCAAAGAATGCTGCTTGTCTTTTTCGTACATTTGTTATCAATGTTCTTTTTGTTTCTACCTGTTACAAAACTTCATTTGTTTTCTGGTCTTTGTAGGAAACTATAAGCATTCATATAGATAGTAATATTTGTGATCTAACTAAACGTAATAGAATATATTAGAACAGCATTTGAGTCTGCAGTAAACATTGAAAGACATAAAATGCAAAGATTTATATTCCTGATGATTTGACTTCCAGCCAATAAACGAGTGTATTGGCAAGTAGGCTTATGGTTGCAGAGACAATTGAGATGACTGATGCTGAAAATTCCATTGGATTTTGCTTAATTCAACACAGTAGAGAGATGACTGTGTGATTAAACCAGTAACCTTCATACTATTGTAAAATTAGATTGTACAAATAACTTCATGTGCATTTAGTTTGTCTAAAATGCAAAACTTGGGGTCAGAAGTTTTCATGAGACAAGATTAAGATTACTCTCTCGTTCTCATGACTGGGTTAAGTAACTATCCTAACTCCTAGGACTTACTGCAGAAATATTTGGAAACACTGTGTGTATATGTATATGTGTACTTGATTAAAATTTTTTCAAGGAGAAAGAAAACAATAGGATTTAAAGTAATTATTATAGAACTATTAAGGTAAGGGTTTTTAGTTATATTTAACATCAGGAGGGTGTAGGTTGGGAGACTTACAAATGTACAACTATGGGGTGGTTTATTTCAGATATAGTCTTACATCTCTCACACAAATCTATCTTGATCTTCTTTCTGGCCTCTAAACATTGCTAAAAAAAATTTTCATGCTCGTACTACCAGTCTAGGTACCCCATTGAATGTGTACATATTATATGACTACTCTCCACCTCATACTACCAGTCCATATACCCCGTCACTATTTAATATGTACGTATAATATGACTACTTTTCATAGTCAATATTCCACATCTCTATTGAATGTGTACATATAATGTGACTACTCTCCACCTCATACCACCAGTCCATATACCCCATCACTATTGAATGTGTACATATAAAGTGACTACTTTCCACCTCGTAGCTCCAGTCTATATACCCCACAACTATCGAATATGTACATATAATGTCACTACTCTCCACAGTCTATATACCCCGTCACTATTTAATATGTACGTATAATATGACTACTCTTCACAGTCAATACTCCCCATCACTATTGAATGTGTACATATAACGTGAGCACTCTCCACCTCATACCACCAGTCCATATAACCCATCACTATTGAATGTGTACATATAAAGTGACTACTTTCCACCTCGTAGCACCAGTCCATATAACCCATCACTATTGAATGTGTACATATAAAGTAACTACTTTCCACCTCGTAGCACCAGTCTATATACCCCATCACTATTGAATGTGTACTTATAATGTGACTACTCTCCACAGTCTATATACCCCATCAGTATTGAATGTGTACATATAATGTGACTACTCTCTACAGTCTATATACCCCATAAGTGTTGAATGTGTACATATTGTATGACTACTCTCCACCTCATACCAACAGTCCATATACTCCATCACTATTGAATGTGTACATATAATATGACTACTCCCCACCTCGTAGCACCAGTCTACATACCTCATCACTATTGAATTTGTACGTATATGACTACTCTCAACAGTCTATATACCCCATCACTATTTAATATGTACGTATAATGTGACTACTCTTCATAGTCCATATACCCCATCACTATTGAATGTGTACATATATAGTGACTACTCTCCACCTCATAGCACCAGTCTATATACCCCATCACTACTAAATGTGTGCATGTAATGTCACTACTCTCCACAGTCTATATACCACATAACTATTGAATGTGTACATATAATGTGACTGCTCTCCACAGTCTATATACCCCATCACTATTAAATGTGTATGTATTATGTGACTACTCTCCAGTCTATTTACCCCTTCAGTATTGAATGTGCACTTATAATGTGACTACTCTCTACAGTCTATATACCTAATCACTATTGAATGTGTACATATAAAGTGACTACTCTTCACCTCGTAACACCAGTCTAGATACCCTATCAGTATTGAATGTATACATATAATGTGACTACTTTCCACAGTCTTTATACCCCGTCACTATTTAATATGTACGTATAATATGACTACTCTCCACAGTCTATATACCCCATCACTAATTAATATGTACGTATAATGTGACTACTCTCCAGTCTTTATACCTCGTTACTATTGAATGTGTATGTATAATGTGACTACTCTCCACAGTGTATATACCCCATGACTATTAAATGTGTACATATAATGTGACTACTCTCCACAGTCTATATACCCCATCACTGTTAAATGTGTACATATATAATATAACTATTCACCACCTCGTACCACCATTCCACATACCCCATCATTATTGAATGTGTACATATGAAGTGACTACTCTTCACCTCGTAGCACCAGTCTAGATACTCTATCACTACTAAATGTGTAGATATAATGTGACTACTTTCCTCATTCTATATACCCTATCACTATTGAATGTCTACGTAGAATGTGACTACTCTCCACAGTCTATATACCCATCACTGTTAAATGTGTACATATATAATTTAACTACTCACCACCTCATACCGCCAGTCCATACACCCCATCATTATTGAATGTGTACATATAAAGTGACTACTCTTCACCTCGTAGCACCAGTCTATATACCCCATCACTACTGAATATGTACGTATAACGTGACTGCTTTCCTCATTCTATATACCCTATCACTATTGAATGTCTACGTAGAATGTGACTACTCTCAACAGTCTATATACCCCATCACTATTTAATGTGTACATATAATGTCACTACTCTCCACAGTCTATATACCCCATCACTATTAAATGTGTATGTATAATGTGACTACTCTCCAGTCTATTTACCCCTTCACTATTGAATGTGTATATATGTCACTACTCTCCAGTCTGTATACCCCATTACTATTGAATGTGTATGTATAATGTGACTACTCTCCAGTCTATTTACCCCTTCATTATTGAATGTGTACGTATAATGTGACTACTCTCCACAATCTATATACCCCATCACTATTGAATGTGTACATATAATATGACTAGTACCCATTTTGTAGCACCAGTCTATATACCCCATCACTATTGAATGTGTATATATAATGTAACTACTCTGCACAGTCTATATACCCCATCAATGTTGAATGTGTACATAAAATGTGACTACTCTCCACAGTCTATGTACTCCATCACTATTGAATGTGTACATAAAATGTGACTACTCTCCACAATTTATATACCCCATCACTATTGAATGTGTACATATAATGTGACTACTCTCCACAGTCTATATACCCCATCACTATTGAATATGTACATTTAATGTGACTACTCTGTTTATGTTACTCTGTATTCGTTTTTATCGGATTTATCCTGAACCTCCTGATGCCGAGGACAAGTTGTGGAACCTCAACTGTCCGATTGTGGTTGGGTATCACGTAACTAAGTCAGGTTGATTTTTACTATGGATTGAACCTCTCACGGTTGTGATTGCACCTCTCAGAATAAATTACTCTTGTGCACATCCTTTTTTCCCACCCATTTCATTTTAATTTCCTTCTTCCAGAAGTTAGCAGTGCCCCATGTGTTTCTTCTGCCCGTATCATCCTCATATCCTTCTTCCAGAAGTATTGGTGCACGCGCGTTCATTCTGGAGAGTTACTTTTTGCTTAGTTTCAATGTTGTTTGCCTACACTGGCCCCTCCACCTTTGCAATGTGAAATTCTAACTTTCTGTGATTAGAGGTAAGAACACATTGGCATTTAACATTTTCTTACACTAAAAAATGTATTTCCAGAAGGTACCTTCCCACCCTTCTTCCCCAATATGTACTTACCTTCCCACCCTTCTTCCCCAATAGGTACTTACCTTCCCACCCTTCTTCCCCAATAGGTACTTACCTTCCTACCCTTCTTCCCCACTGCTGGTGTTATTCTTTTATATCATGCCAATTCTCGAAAGTGAGGATTAAGTGGGAATAGGAGAGGGAACTAGCTGTGTCAGTATAGGTAGCACATTACTATTGATTGAGAGTAGTCATATATGTACAGGTTCAATAATGGCACAAAATTGGTGGAGTAGATAGACTGGTGCTCTCAGCATGAAAATTTTCTTACCAATGTTTAGAGGGTAGAAAGAATATCGAGATAAGTTTGTGTGAGAGGGAGATAAGTACCTAACAGAAATACATTTTCAGTGTAAGGCAATGTTAACTTCTAGTACAAGGTTATTTTTTTGTTTAATATTGAGGTAATTGTCTTATATAACACCATTAATCATTTTACGATAATTACTAAAAGGGTGAAGGTTAGGAGTCTTAGAAATGTAGAAATATGGGATGGTTTATTTCTACCACAAGGTTATTTTATATCTAAATATTGGAGGTGACTGCCTTCTCACAACTAGCAGGAGACAGCAAAAAAGCAGTAGGAATTGAGATGTTATGGGTTTAAGCACTCAACTGATCTTTCGTAGCTGCTGAACAGTTTGACATCTGCATTTGGATCATGTCTGATAGGTGCAATATCCCTCATGCTTTTGGGAGCCATGACCACAGATATTTTCTGTTATGAATTAATGATGACAACAGGGACTGGTAATGGATAGTTTTTTTTGTTTTTTTTTTCATTTTTTAAGTTTCCTTGTAAATGTTTTGATTTGTGTTAATTTCATTATTGTTATATAGTGCTGATTTTATCACCTATTTATAATTAACATAATTTATAGTACTAGAACTTCTGATGTATTGATGTATGTGTGTGTGCGTATACATACATGTACGTAAAGATGCTGGACACAAACTTTTGATTGGTCACTTTATTTCAATATTGTGTTAGATGTATGTTTAATATGGCTTGATGAAATTTCAGTACTCATGAGTTGTTCAGTAATATACCTGAGTTTTAATGTTGTAGGAACAGCATAGTAATGTCCCAAACATAGTAAGGAAGGTTAATAACACAGCCAGCAATGCTACCTCTGCCCAACGGAAGACACTAAAACGTACCAGGAAGTTTGTAATTGATGGAGTAGTAGTGACTACCACTCAAAGTAAAGTTATTTATGGTGATGAAGATAACAAAATCAAAGATGACCATTTTCTAAGGTAATGCCACTTTTAAGGTGTTTTTCATCTGGTTCTTGAGTATTGAAGAAAAGGTTTATATAATCTGTGAGTTGTACTATTTGATATGGATTTCATGAAAGACTTTTGTTGGGATAAAAAACTGATCTTTAGTATTAAACATATGTTGCTGAAGTCTGTAATTTGATGAGTTATAAAATATTCATTTAAAAGCTATACTGTAACAAATATTTTCAAGGTCACAAGTTATGGTTACCATCCAGTTTATGTTGTTAAAGACATTAAATATTTTATATAGTGATTAACATTATTAATGAAAGTATGTAAGTTATGCCATGTTAAGCCTATAGATACATGAAGATTACAAAAACAAATTGTTGGTCGATCCAAATGATGTTTAGTCTGTAGATGTATGAAGATTATAAAAACAAACTGTTGGTCTATCCAAAGGATGTTTAGTCTGTAGATGCATGAAGATTATAAAAACAAACTGTTGGTTGATCCAAAGTATGTTTAGTCTGTAGGTGCATGAAGATTATAAAAACCAACTGTTGGTCGATCCAAAGGATGTTTAGTCTGTAGATGTATGAAGATTATAAAAACAAACTGTTGGTTGATCCAAAGGATGTTTAGTCTGTAAATGTCAGTTTGTTTTTATAATCTTCATACATCTGCAGACTAAACATCCTTTGGATCAACCAACAGTTTGTTTTTATTATCTTCGTGCATCTACAGACTTTATAAACATCCTCTGAATTGACCAACAGTTTGTTTTTATAACCTTCATGCATCTACAAACTAAACATCCTCTGAATTGACCAACAGTTTGTTTTTATAACCTTCATGCATCTACAAACTAAACATCCTCTGAATTGACCAACAGTTTGTTTTTACAACCTTCATGCATCTACAAACTAAAATTCCTTTGGATCGACCAACAGTTTGTTTTTATAATCTTCATACATCTACAGACTAAACATACTTTGGATCAACCAACAGTTTGTTTTTATAATCTTCATACACCTACAGACTAAACATACTTTGGATCGACCAACAGTTTGTTTTTATAATCTTCATACATCTACAGACTAAACATACTTTGGATCGACCAACAGTTTGTTTATATAATCTTCATTCTTCGTGCATCTACAGACTTTATAAACATCCTCTGAATTGACCAATTTATAAAAACAAACTGTTGGTTAATTCAAAGGATGTTTAGTCTGTAGATGCATGAAGATTATAAAAACAAACTGTTGGTTGATCCAAAGGATGTTTAATCTGTAGATGCATGAAGATTATAAAAACAAACTGTTGGTCAATTCAGAGGATGTTTATAAAGTCTGTAGATGCACGAAGATAATAAAAACAAACTGTTGGTCGATTCAGAGGATGTTTATAAAGTCTGTA